CGTATTGCGTTTGATAGGTTGTTCTTGACTCTGTAGATTACTTTGAAGGAGGCGTTTGTTGAAATTGAATGATCAGTGTTAACCAGGTGTTCAATTATCGCACTCCTTATTGCACCACTATTGCCTTTTCGCAACCATGCTGGATAGTGTTCTTGAATCTCCTTGGACAGGGTGCGCGTCGAACGATCGATGTATCTGGCTCCACAGCAGCAGGTGAACTGATATATGCACATAGAAGTGGTCAGATGCGGGATCTTGTCCTTGAGGCTTCTGCAGATCAGTGGACGACTGGATAACACTATTCTTAACGTTGCTGCAAAGAATGTTCTTCTCAGAGATGATGTGATCCCTCTCTTGAGAATATCGCTTGCTAAATCTCCCTTTAAACCCAGGTTCATGTAGAGTTTTTTTTTTGGCGCAAGTAGAGTTTCGTTTCTCCGAATTCTTGGTTTGATATTTTTCTCGATGAATCTCATTGGGTATCCATTTTGGATGAAAATTTCTCTTAGAATATCCAATTCTGTTTCCAGAGTGTCGGGACTGCAGATGCGTCGGATGCGGCTAGCAAGTGATTTAATTAAACTTCGCTTTTGTTGAATGGGTACCCAGCTATAGAAGCTTGTTAGTTGACCATTCCGAGTAGGTTTTCTATGGATTGATCTTCTTAGACTCCCATCAGTTCTTCTTGTTAGTTCCACAGCAAGAAACGGAATTTTTGATTCGTTTTCCATTTCAAGAGTGAATTTTGTTGCTGGACGTCAACAGTTAAATGTCTTCAGCAGTAGATTGGGGTCATTGTTGTTGTCACAAATAATGAATATGTCGTCTACGCATTTTTTATACAGTCGCAAATTGTCGATGCTTGGCTTTAGTGGACTTTTCTCGAGGCTTACGACGAAGCAATCTGATAGTAGTGGACCCAACGGAGATCCCATTGCAATACCATCATCTTTTTGTCCATAGATGGTGTCGTTGAATGTGAACTGGACGTTTCAGAGTGCATCTCAATAGTAATAGGGTATTTGTGTTATATTAGCATCAGCTGGTACATCACGACTCCCTGGCTGAGGTCTGATAGTTCAAATCTGTGGCTCAAGACGTTTTCAGGTGTGACCAAGAATCGTAATCAATGGTGAACAAGCTGTAATTTCTTTTTTTTCTTCCTTTCCTAAAAGTGACATGAAGTGCTGAATGTTGGATGATCTTGATGAATATGCTTGCTTCCTATATGACGTCCCACATTCCTTCTTTCCATATTTTCTTTGTATAAAAATATTGTACGGCGCATCTCTGTGTGCCTATAATGTTCCAAGTCTGTGTTTTAAATCAAACAAATAAATTCATATAGAAAATCAAAACAAATGATGATTCAGCGAAGAGACTCTTTTCAACGAATTTATCATCAAGCCGTACAATCGTATATATATGGTTTTTAAGAGGGTGCAAGAACACTATCCTGCATAGTTACGAAAAGGTGGAAGTGGAGCAATAAGAAGCGCAATCATTGAACATCTGGTCGATAATGATCACCCTATCTCTATAGCCTCCGCCTTCAAAGTCATCTACAAGGCAAAGAGTAATTTACCGAAATCCCTATGTACCCAACTCATCTGTACTGCTGAAGCCATCTTTGGCTATCGAAACAGAAAAGCCAGATCTCTGTGTACAGAAAAAGTTCATTCAACCCCTCCAACTTTCATGGTCTTAATCCCTCTATGCTAAAGTATGGTAATCCCTAATCATATTTTAGCTCTACCAATTTCTCATATTTGTCTAGTCAATTTGTATACTCTTCCTTATTAAGTCGATTGTTACTATTACTACTCTCACTTTTAATTGTCCCCGGTATTATTTCACTTGTTCCACCTGTCATTCTAAATCAATTCCTTTTTTACAATATTAAATTCTATGCTATTAAATTTCACACAATATTACGTAACGTTTTTATTTTATTTTATAATTGCACACCTTTCTCAAGTTCTATCCATCCTATGAATTATTCTATATATGACATTAATTTGCTTTGCCACTTGACATTTAACTACGATTATAATCACAAACATTTTAGTTTTAATTACATTTCATATTATTATTATTATTATTTTATGCATTCACACCTATGTTTCAATTCCCTCACCGGATATAACTTCTTAAAAACCATGTATATATTACGATTGTACAGCTTGATGATAAATTCGTTGAAAAGAGTCTCTTCGCTGAATCATTTGTTTTGATTTTCTATAATGTTACAATGGGAATTTTCCATGATTTAAATAAATTCATCACGTAATAAAACAAAGCAATTGCGCGGTAAACACTTTTATTTCAGACGGGCAATATATAAATTACATTCTACATGCCCACTGGATACACTAATTTCAATTAGCAAAACTTTCACGATGAATCAATGCGTGGTTGGTTCACTGTGATAGAACACTGGCCAAGCGATCTGAAATTTTATTCGCAGCCCACTTACTCTTAAACCTTGCCAAAAGTCTGGTAAAGAGAGGAACATTTCTAGGCTTGAGGATGACAACTCCATCGTGTGTAAATGAAACACCACTTCTACTGAAAATTCAATGCTCAAAGCAGCTTGAGGCTTTAAGTTCCATTTTGAACTCAAAGAAATGAAAGAAAGTTTTCATGATGAATTTTCCGAGAACAATTTCAAACTACTCTGAGCTAGCTGAAAATCTCTCTGTCAGCGAATACACTTCAACAAGCTGAATGAGTTCAATATTAGTTTGTTTATTAGATGTATCACACAGTTTCGAACAAAATTTATTGTTCATAATCATTTCATCAATTATAATCACACGACTTCGAAACTTGAGTTCTATAGTTTTCTTTGTCTTCTCTTATTTGTCGTCATTGGGGTAGTAGAATTTTCCAGATATCGGGAACAGGTGTTGAATAATTCCTATTACACGTATTTGCAGTTGATTCGATACACAAAGCTTCTGTTATCAATCTCTCCCTCCACCCTGTGACATAAGATTTTAAAACTGTCATCTTATCCCATCCTATTGTAAGGTTGTGTGTAATTGCATGTAGTGCTGTAACCGAACTATTCTCTAGATTCCTTATCTTATTCAGGTTAACTAATCTAGATTTTGCTAGGTTTTTATGTTCGGCTAGTCTGACTGCCCCTGTTCTACTACTTTGACCTATGTATTTCACCTGACAATCATTCCAGCAGGGTATTAGGTAATCTGAATTGTTTTATTTTAAAGGCTCCACAGGATTGCTCCTTTAACCGACAAAGCTTGATAACAGAAGCTTTGTTTATCGAACCAACTGCAAATACATGTGATAGGAATGATTCAACACCTGTCCCAGATATCTGGAAAATTCTACTACCCCAACGACGACAAATAGGAGAGAACAAGGGAAACTATAGAACTCAAGTTTCGAAGTCATGTGATTGTAATTGATGAAATGGTTGTGAACAATAAATTTTGTTCGAAACTGTGTCATCCAGTAAATAATACGGTTTCACTGTGTGATACATCTAGCAAATAAACTACCATTGTGCCCAAGTATTACACATATATGAATGGGTTGAAGGAAAATATTTTTAATAAAAGATCAGTAAAAGTGAAACTGTGGTCTTAAAATAAATAAACGTCCGAACCGTAATTTCGCTATGAAAAGTAAGTCGTACAACTATTTTACCGTCCATGAAGAAAGTTTCATTTGAATAAAGTTGTCAGATATTATATATATATATATATTACTTATCTACCTCTTTAAAACACAAAAATTAGTACAACATGAGTGCTGGAAGATGCGCTATTCTCTTTTATCATCTAATTCTTTAACCTTCTGAGGGGAATACACGGCTTCTTCAAGCATAAGCTTTAAAGCTTCAGTAGCGGTGGCGGTTGTGATGTTGTCTTTTAACAGACGGTGGTCACAAACTTCATCCTAATCCAACCTTCTCCTTTTACCGAGCTTACTACTACCGGCTAAGCGAGGTTTAGGTGTGCGTCGGTCGGGAATAGAACCCGAGAAATTAGGTGTGGTTGAAGCATTTCGACACGCTATACAGAGTAATTTTAAAAAATTAGGAAAAGGATGACAATATAGTTGGGAAGCCACAGAATAAAAGCAAATGAGCACATTTATCAAGAGTACTTAAATGTTTATCTGTGCATATTACCTATTATAAAAAGAGAAGAAAACTGCGTTTAGGATTACCATTCATGACTCGTGTCTACGCCTTCCTAAGTCAATGTACGGAGATGATAACACTTACTTAAAGACAATCTCCACTCCAGACAGACATGATATTGCACCTCAGAATTACTTACACGGTAATACCACTTAATGAATGCAGTTTTATGAAGACAAAGATGATTGAAGGTGTAATCACAATATATCTGTAGATCAGAGAGACCATATTTCACAGAAAGGCCAAGACAAGATCAACTAAGTATTTTGAACCCGACAATTGACAGTCAAACTAACATGTGAGAGCGTAAGAGGTGGCTCAGGTCGGTGTATATGCCTTCCAGACTTTTGTCACGACTAGAAACGTCATTCGTGACACTGCCAAAACTCGCATAACAATCCAGATAGAACAACTTCTCATTACTTCTAACAGTTCGTCTGCAATAGTTCATAGATGTAGAAGCCTCTTTCAAACTTTTATAACAAATTCGCATTTAGATGTTGCCTATATATATATATATATATATATATATATATATATATATTACCTTATTTATTTATTTTTTTATTTTGATTTACAGCTTGATTCCACACCGTATATTCAGTACAAGTGTGGAATTTTCAGCATGGATATCGGTAGCCCAAATTCAGGCCGACCATAGATATCGGGTGTGCGCCGGCAGAGGATCGAACCCCGGACCATGTGCATGGTCGGCGGGAGTCCTAACCACTGTACCGCCTTCGTTATGACAACAACACATTCAACACTAATTTAAATTATATACAAGAAAAACTGAATAACAGTTTGCAAAATTTCGTGCACCTACCTCGTGGAGAACGAACAGCTGTAGCAAATGATACTCCAGACATAAATTGTGCCATCTTTTGCCCAACTGAATCTATCTGTAGGGCAAGTTCACGTGTAGGAGCCATACAGAGACACTGGCAGTAAGGAACATCTGCGTTGACGCGTGATAGCATTGCAAGCAGAAATGTTGCTGTTTTTCCAGTTCCAGATTGAGATTGAGCTATCATATTTTGTGGGCTTGAAAAAAAGTTGTGCAAATAAATTATTGCTGAAAAAGCTTCTTTAAAGTGTGAAGTAAAAATATAGAGGGTGCATAATTTACATGTATAACCTATGTTGTGTTGACTAATTGCACAATCGCAGAAAAAAACAGATACGCTTACTCTGCATTATGTGCAGTATAATGAAATTAGCACAAGTGTTTTAACTTAATACAAAGCTTACGTATCACACAGACTGAAAGGTGAATTTAAACTTATATATATCTGCCAAGATGTTTGAAAGACTTCTAAGAGGACTTGACACTATTGACTTGTCAGTTTGGAGTAGTGGGTGTAGAGGAAAGCAGACGTAACAGTACACCACTCACTAAACTCTTTTAAACTGTGTTGCCATCATCAAAACTTCTGAACTTATGCAGAAAGCTAAAAGTTACGCAATGATTAAAGAACCAGTTGATTGCGATTTTCCATTGGTACATTGTGGGCACTAAGAGATGCGCTACACAAAATCGCATAGTGTATGCGAGGGTTAGGATACTGGATAGACGCCCACCATATCGAAGAAGACAGCTGTCTCAAAGGACCATCACACCGAGTCCTTTGAATTGAAGTATGATACACAAGACAGTGGATCAGTGTCAAGGCCTGCGTTCCTCTCGGATGGATTTTGGAGTCTATGTACACAAGTTTTTGAATCAGGGTTTTCTAACTCCCCTAGATAGACTAACAGATTCACTAGTCTGGTTGTAAGCGCCATATGTTCGCATTCACCGTTTAACTTTTGTAAGAACACCCGAATCGACGCATGGAGTCGTTGAATAGGACCTACGTGGCATAGGCTATAAAGGCGTGGCCACATGAGAGCATTTCGAGAGGAATACTGAAGGTTACTGACCCTAAGTCTTATCATGTCATTAACGAATTTTGTTTCTTTATTGAGAATAACTGCAAGGAAGTGAAGTGCATCTGTAGGAAATCTTGATTTACAAGCAAACAGGTCACGTTTATTACACACTTCTGTTTTTCTTTACCTTTTGCTTGGTTTGTAAAACGAAAACCATAGGAAAACAAATTGCAGTCTTCCTCACATTCCCTAAGTCATCAAAATATACTAGACCTATTCAAACTGAAGACACATTATCCATACTTTCATGCATAAGACTGCAAACTGAATCCCTTATCGATTGCTGAAATGAAATGATAGGTGTGCTTGCGTGTGTCAATGACCCAACTAGCTACACTGACCAAAACGAATGTCCCCATAAATAGCCCCAAACCACAAGTGTTAATTAGGTAGAAGTTAGACTAAAAAGAAGCTGTCATGATAGCGTGAATCGCTCACACTGAGGGCGAAGTCGTACCGGTGGCCGGTAAGGATGTAACAGCTGCTGCTGCTGGATTCAACATAGAACTTGGCACCCAAGTGCAGCAGTTCGAGTTGCCACGTTCCAAATATCACACAAAGGTAGACAAGAAAATGAGTGGAGAGAATCAATAGAGTTTTGACAAGTATAAGAGTGAAACAGAATGAGTAATGGTAGAAAAGAATATGAAAGATTACAGAGACTGAATACATCTGCGCTAGCCATTGACAACGATTTTGAGCCATGTTACCTATTGTCTCCAGCCATTGATTCTTGGAGTCCCGAGGGCCCCAACCCGGGAGTCTGCATCTCCCTACCTGACTCAGTTTAACTGTCAAGGATTTCATGGATTGATGCCATGTTTTTGTTTGGCCACCACTTACTCTTTTCCAACCTGCACCTATATCACCTAGTAATGCCCATCCGTCGGGGGAGGCGATGGTTAGGCATGCGCAGCACGTCACCTAGCCATCTCAATCTATGTACCTTTATAGTCTCTTCGATTGATTTTCCCTCTTTGCCCAACACTCTACGCCTAACGTCAACATTACTTACCTTAATATACCACCTAACGCGAGAAAGAGATCGTAAACATCTGTGGTCAAAAACAGACAACCTTTTCATGTCTTCAACTCGTATTGACCATGTTTCAGAGCCATAGAGAAGGACGGAGCGAACTGATGAGCAGTATACATGTCCCTTGGTTGATAGCCGGATGTCACGCCTACGCCAGAGACGGTGTAAGTTAGCGAAAGCAGCCCGAGCTTTTTGTATCCGTGCTGAGATTTCGTCACCAATCAATCCGTTGGTGTTGATACAACTTCCCAAATGGGTGGAGTGGTCAACATGTTCTATCACTTCACTCCTTATCACTAAGCTAGGAGTTGACGTAGTCCAGTCCTGTAGCAGCATCTCACATTTTACAGGGGCGAGTCGCATGCCAAACATACGAAGATTGGTGCTCAAGGTGTTCAGAAGACTCTGCATTCTGTCAGCATCCTCCCCTAACAGGACTATGTCATCTGCATATTCTAAGTCCATAAGACTATTCCCTGGTAACAAGTCGATTCCTAAGTCGTTAAGTTCAGTTAAGGATACTTCCATTAGCATATCTATGATGAAGTTAAACAGAAATGAGGAAAGTGGACATCCTTGACGGACACCACTGGTTGTTATCAATTTAGATGACAATTCCCCATAAGCCCTTACACGGCTACGTGAGTTTGAGTAGAGTGCCTTGATTAGTGCAATGTACTTTCGTGGCACTCCCTTTACAGTCAAACATTGCCATAGTACCTCACGATCCACGGAGTCGAAGGCCGCTTTCAAGTCAGCAGTTGGTTGATTCCCCCGGACGATCGAAAAGCCAGAATCACTGCCTCTTTGTTGTAGGAAAGAGGTGGCTCAGAGGTCCACTGAGAAAACTGTACATACCCAGTTACCTTGTAGCGAGTGGTAAGATCTGCACACCGGCGCAACTCCGAGAACTACTCCAAGCAAGTCCCTGGGATACATGGTCACGCAACTATTCCTTCGATTCCAGGTATTTCAAGTAGAAGCCAATTCCTGCAGTGCGAGCGGCCAACCACACAGCTCTACTTTCTGTTAGCAAAGTGAGTTGAGAACTGGTCAGTTTACTGAGCAAGCACTAACAGCAAGTGACTGAAACTTGCATAAATTCTTCAGCGATGTATTTAAAATTCACTGGTACATTGCTAATTTTTGGAATGAAAAAACGAAAAACCCAAAGATAATCGGCTGTTGCACTTAACAAAGGAACTTGAATTTATGAACTGGTTCTTTAACTTTCACAGAATGAGATATCATCTTGTGAGGTTGTTAACAACGTCTAATGAATATAATTGTGAAAACACGTCATGGTAAACAAAAATAGACACATGCTTGATAAAACTGATGTGACTAACTGTTTTGAACGTAGAACTTTGCAAAACAAACAGCGATAGTTTAGGGTCCACACAAAGGTAGACGAAAATCTAAAGGGAGTCATGGTGGCAATGTACAGGAGAAAGAATAAGCACATGGAGTATAGTAAGAATTCAATGCATTTAGAAGTTCATAAAGAGTGAATGCACCTAAGCCATTGAGAACTACTTTAGGTTGTGTTGGCAACAGTCACCAACCATTGTTACTTAGCATACCAGGGTGCGCCAAGCCAGCCGATTCACACCTGCTTATTTGGATCAAATCAACAGTCATAGACTTCATCGACTGATGCCACTTTTTCATTTGACCACTCCTAACTCTTCCCTAACTTATTCGTCTTAGCTAACTGTTCGATGAAGTAGAAAACTGCTAGGTGTACCATCTCAATCGATGCAGCTTGACAACTTTACTGTTCTAATTTCTTTTCTTTCCTAACATTGTGTCTGACCCAAATATTATTCACCAAATTATACCACTAAACGCGGAAGCTAAGACGCAGGAACCAATCGCCAAAGACAGCTCGCCTTCTCTTAACTTCCACTTTTAACGGCTAAGTCTCACATCCACAAAAACAATGGAGAGAAGTACTGAGTAGTACACACATCCTTTGATTGACAGCTGAATATTAGGTCCACTCTTGAGATGATGTAATCCGATACACTGATGTATAACTGATATTCAGAGCACTTAGATTGCCACTACTGAAACAGTTTAGTTCGAAGTTCTGTGAGAGGCACATTAATATGACGTTGTATATTTATTGTGTGTTAGTGCTTCATGTGAAGAATTTAAAAAAACAGAAAGACAAAGCGCAACGTGAGAATAAAGTGGTTACGAGTGCGTATGCTAAGGATCAAATCTTGATAAATCGGGGACTACTGTATTATGAACATAAAATTAGAAATCCAGAAACGGTGTGATTTAATCGGGTTAAAACATATTGTATCTGACATACTGTGTACTTTACTTTTACTTTGCTTCGGCTATCTCCTACGGAAGGATGAGCCGGCTTCATGAACTTCTCAAATCATCGCTACCCAGGCGCAGCGATCTGATGAAGAGAGTTTACGAAGTTTCATGGGAATTTGGTACGAGTGATGTCCCCAGAACCTACATACTGTGTACGTAAGTAGTTCGTCAGTTGAATGCTCGCCAAACACGCAAGTGGTGGGGGGTTTGATCTCCGCCGATATACAAACCTCGCCTAAGTGGTAGTAAGTCCGGTAAAGAGGGGAGGTTGAACGACCACTAGCAAACCCACCCCATAAGAAAAGAAATAACACCACAAGTGCTAAAACATTAAAACTCAAACAAGAAGCCCGATGTTCCACTCGGAACTCAAAGGAACAAAATAATCAATAAAATGTGTGGCATACTTACTTGTCAGATATTAAACTACCCAGAGCTCGTTCTTGGATAGTGGATGGCCTGTAAAAGCCCAGTTCTGAGATACCCCTGAGAAGTGGATCTTTCCTGTTGTAGTAAGATATAATGTTAACAGGTAATACCTACAAGTTCAACTCTTGGAATGTGCGAGCTGAGTGTAAAGGATGATTTGGATCAGATCGTAGCAATTCAAAATCTGCTTCACGTGTCTCAAATAAGTTAGAGTTCAGAAGCTTATTGATGTACGATATCTCTGCCCTGGTGAAGGCTGGAGAATATGAAGAACCTAAGGCACTTACGCTTTTCATCTGATTCCTCCAATCCAGATTTTGGATCTAACCCACTTTTGATCTTCACAACACTTTCGTGCAGAGCTAACCACTCACCAACATCTGCGCGCGACATCTTGATGTGTTGAGCAACCGAAACTGAAAATGCCGCTTTTGTTTTAGTCCCATAATTAATATCCATAAGATTATTCAACAGCTTATACGAGCTTTGTGAGCAAAGTGAAAGAATGCCAGCGAAGTCTAAGTTAAAGCACCACTAACTACGAATGGAGTGCGACGCACCAGTGACCTTAAAAAGCTCACTGAGCAAGTTAGTGAAACCTGGCAAATAATGTTATCATCATCAATAAAATATGCTCATCGAAGTGTTATTTTATTTCCTGGGATATTTGGCAAGTTTCAGTTCAGGTTTGGGAAAGATTAAGTTACTCTTTAAGCTAAGGACAAGTTAGGGTGGGGGCGAACCAACCCAGCAGGAACCAAGTGTGCAACAGATAAACAGGAAGAACTGGGTGTGGATTGGCTGTACTCTGAGAATACCATCAAGTGACATCCATCACATGTCAGGCCATTGCTCGAGTAGACCCGAGTGGGAAGCAGCGAGTTGGTCGTCAGTGTGAGGGTGACATGGAGGAGGTTGTGTGAAGTGGAGATGGTATTATGTGGGCAGACGTGGAGCCAGGTGAAAACGCTGGCAGGGAATCGAACACGTTGCAGACGTGCAGCTGAAGCCCTATGTTCCTCTAGGAATCAAAGGAAACAATAATATGACAATAATGGAACAAACTGTCGACGAAAACGCGGCCAGCAAGCACATTGGCTTCCTTTGAAAAGGTGTGGAGTCCTCAAAAATAAACTTATCCACATTTTACTATTATGTAAAAGATGTACATATTGTACACTACTTTGTTTTAATCAAAAGCTCTGTACTTTGAACTTCGAGTTTTAAAAAAATATATAATTCTGCCTTCGACTCTCCGTCTTCTCCACCATCTCAACTGCCGTCGATCAATTATAACAACCTGCTTTCTATCTCGAATTTTTGCAGGAGCACCGTAGCCTCTTCCTACGCACTTTGGTCGACCTCCGGCAACGTCAACACTGGAGAATTAGAACTGGAGCAGTCTTCCCGCAGCACTTCTGGAATCCAGTACGTTTATTGTGGAATTTGGATCTTTGTAAACTCAACTGATTTGGTACTTTGTTTTCTATTTGAATTTTGGGTAAATAAGCTAACAGAGCAAAAGGTCCACCACAAAGGTACTTATTAACACACTAAGAGAGTTTGCAAGCGATACTAGTTCCAATTCCCAAGTAAAAGATTCAGAAATCATTTAATGTATGAACTATTATAATCCATTTATAATTTCAGATAAAGAAGCAGCAGTTAAGACAAAACCCCTCAAACAAATAAGAGTCGTTCGTACTGATACAAGTAATGAAAGAAAATTGACAGACGAATGAAATGAAAAATAAGGTCAAAACTTACTGCAATATCACATGAAAATATAAGACTTTCTTGGACAATATTTATACTCTGCCAACTGGTCTACTTACCGAAAAGGATACGGTCATATTTTATCCATAGTGGCGAGTAATTACATAAACCCACCATTCCCGTTAGTACAGCTCAAATTCTTTAACCTTCTCAATATCGAGTATACACTCAATGGTGGTAGAAGTCCACAAAATAATGAATCTATAGAACACATACACTTCCCATGATAATAATGATATATTTAATATTCTGGATGTAGGTGTCATAGTTAGTCACGACTTAAAAAGTACAGCGCACTGTCGCGCGGTGGCTGCACGTAGTTTCAGGTCCTTATGGGCGATTCGCAGAGCCTTTACTATAATCACCAGAGCTATGTTCACCTCCTTATATACATCTTTGGTGACGTCGTGACTAGCAAACTGTATCCAGGCAGCCAGTCCTTTTCTTAAAGGGGACTCACTTATTCTAGAAAGGGTTCAAAGGAAGGCAACACGTATGGTTCTCGGCATGACTAACTTATCATACGAGGAAAGACTAAACAGTTTAAATCTTCTCCCTGTCATACCGTAGGCAGAGAGGAAATTTAATCACAACGTTTAAAATTTTAAATAAAGACTACGGGCCTGAGCTATTCTCTCTTTTGCTTCCCAGCAGGTTGGAAAACCTTAGAGAACATAACAAGAGAGTTCAAAAGCCAAGAAGAAATCATATTGCTGTTGAGTACTGGTTCTCACACAGAGTCATAAACTCTTGGAACCGACTCCCAGAAGAAGTGGTGTGTGCAACCTCAACTGATTCATTCAAGAAGGGTTTGGACAACCACATAAATTTACCAGAAAAGTATTAACATAGGCTCCAAGCCTTCCATCCTCAACCAATAAATCTGAATGTGAATCTTATGTACATGAGAGACGCCAGTTTACAGACATCATCGATATGCTAAGTAATATACAACGGGGTAAGTATATCTACAATTTTTCACTGACTCAGGATGCATATACAAGGAAAGTTAATGGAGTGATGTTAGGAAGCACACTTTGCATAGGTAAAAACAATTTGCATGATATAATCCTAGGCACCATTATTGTTTGAATTTGTCGAGAACGTCCGCAACAACTGAGTGTTGCGTTACATGTTGTCAATATGGTAGGAAAGACGCTATAGTCAGTTTCAAGGTCATGATGGGTTCTTGCGTCTACTGGTTATATGTTTTCGTGAATTCGTTTTCCATTGAATTTTAAAGGTTTTTTTGAACGTTTTGCTTGTTTTGGAGTATGTAGGTCAGTTTTTTGTCACTGGATGCTACTAGTAAGGTTGTTTTTAGGCAGAAGTTCCCACTTATCATGTTGGTAGTTAAGGATTATGGTAAACCTGCAATCATTGAGCTAATTCACGTACACTATGATAGTATAGTAATACTATTTAATAAATGAACTCCCTAACTGGTTTGCCATTGTTTGATTATGTGATTGAACCGGGACTGTGGGATTGTTTTATCCACATGACCGGCTGTAATTCATCACCTTGTTCTTCTTAATAAGCATTATCGAAGAATAGGTTAGAATAAGTTTAGAATTGTTGTAAGCCTGGGGTGATTACGGTACAGGCAACAAATCGTATTAGTCGCCGTTACTCGGGATATGCTATGAACTAGAAATCTTCGGCTGATAAAACGCATTACATAAGGCACAGATCGGTGTAATTTGTAACTGACTTGCAAGGCGCTCTCATCAGGAAACAATCAACCAAAGTATGCTTTAAACTGTCGCTCTCAGGCATTTGAAGGGAAAGGAAGTGTAACACAGTTTAGACATACATGTTTATATTGTGAATACAAATGGAAACAATAAGGTAATGCAAATATTTTCACAAAAATGAACGATTAACAGGGGCACGTCGTAATCTCAAAGTTGTTTGCGGTTCATTTTCTAGCAAAGTGTCCAACCTTCTTGTGAACTCTGCTACTTCCCGCAGTGCAGCATCCGGATTTCTTTGGTTCAGAATGTTGAGACGACGTCTTAAACGTTCATAAGCATTTCTAAACGCGTTGTTCGGTTCCGGTGTTAGGCGGATGGCGCGTGGAATGTCCTCCGTGGTGTTATACTGACGTGTCCACCTGTCACTATTTCTCAGAATATCTAAGAGTAACAATTAAGGAAATGGAACTTACCACAGGTTAGATATGAATTTAAGAAAGCCTCAACGACATGAGCACATGGCAAATTGTATGCACAGTATGTCCAACACGTGCATTTCGCCTCATCCCTGTTTACGAAGAAGATGTGACCACCTTCTGCGTAATTAACTGAAGTGGAAGATATTGAATGAAAGAAGAAGGATCGCCTTTGCAAGTCTAAGAAAACTTTCTTGGCAGCAAAGGGTGTGAGACGCCGTAATATGGGCTTCAGCGAAGTATGTACCTAGGAAAAATCGTAAATTATCTTCAAACTTACATCGTAATTGTAGTATTTACAAAGCATCCACTGGCCCTGACGTATTTTACGCATGGTTGTGTGGTCAATCCACTTCCATATTTTCCATAGAGTCAGTTCCAGCGGATCGCCTTTACGTAAATATCTCCTCAGCCGCCTGTGAGCATTCTCAACTCTGTTGTTAGTGTTGTTCCCCATGGTGATGGCGAACCGGTTGCAAGATGCAGCCCAATATTTCCTTGTTCTTAGCCAGTACCTTCTAATGTAAGCACCGGCCTCAGCGTCTATAACACTAATGAGATTTAGGTAAGTCCAAAACCTTTGGCAATAAATTCTGATTTGTTAACCTACCTGTTGTAACTGCGCGTGTGCGCCATTCGATACAACCACTTTTTAACAAGTTTATTTGGGAACTGTTCTCGCTAAGGTAGTTAATGGGAATGCAGCTTACCTTCCTTCGGAATGCCTGGCATACATGGAAAAGACATAAAACAATACTGCACCTAGGGAATTCCTCCTTTAAAGCGTTAGTCTGTGCAGTTGCACAGTCGACAGTGAATGTTAGTGTTTTTGATGTATCAGTCATAAATCTCTTAAATGTCTGCAATATCTCCTTGATATCTGCAAACTTTTCTCTCCTAGTCAGAGCAAACAAAACAGTCCTTCCTCTTCCGAATCCATCAGTCACAACAAACTGATATAAAGGCCATCTGTAATAAATTAGGAGAAGGATTTACCCCTTCTTGTTCTGCAACTTACCCCATCTTATTCGTTTTATAGGTACAATCAATTCCAACTACTTCTGGAAACTTATGATACCAGTCTATCATATCATTGCGAGCGAAAATAATTTTAGATACAAAGCCTGCGTTGTCATGCAGAACACTAACTGCACCTGTCTGTCTTAGTCGATGAAGCAGGTCTTCCAAACTGCCGACTTCTATTCTACTGCACCATTTATTTTCATACGACTTACGTTTATACATCCTAGCCCACATGTTTTTAATATCATTATACAGCAAGGCTTTGCCAAATTTATCATGCGCTAAATCCATTACTTTATGGACATCAGTATTCCTTTCAATGAACGGTTGTATAACTGCCATTTCTTGTGGTGATAACCGACGTCCAGATACATCAATGGACATGAAACTTGCTGTGCATGGATGGTTATGCACAGTTTGGTACTTTGTTATCCTGCATATGTTGGATTTGCGCCGTACTGTAATTACTGATTGACATGAAGTACTT